CATCATGCATGTGTGTGGTGCATGTTGCCTTCATGTAGTATCACGCGCCATGTCATTGTGGTACATGTTGCCATGTGTCATCATGCATGGTGTGGTGCATGTTGCCATGTCATCATGCATGGTGTGGTGCATGTTGGTATGTGTCATCATGCATGGTGTGGTGCATATTGCCATATGTCATCATGCATGGTGGTGCATGTTGCCATGTGTCATTATTGCATGGTGTGGTGCATGTTGTCATGTGTTACCATGCATGGTGTGGTGCATGTTACCATGTGTCATCATGCATGGTGTGGTGCATGTTACCATGGGGACATCATGCATGGTGTGTGCATATTCCCATATGTCATCATGCATGGTGTGTGCGCATGTTACATCATGTGTCATGCATGGTGTGGTGCATCATTGCCATGTGTCATCATGCATGGTGTGGTGCATGTTGTCATGTGTCATCATGCATGGTGTAGTGCATTTTGCCATACATGCCATCATGCATGGTGTGGTGCATGTTGCCATGTGGCATCATGCATGGTGTGGTGCATGTTACCATGTGGCATCATGCATGGTGTGGTGCATGTTGGTATGTGTCATCATGCATAATTGTGGTGCATGTTGTCATCATGCATGGTGTGGTGCATGTTAATTACATTTGCCATAATGTCATTGTGCATGGTGTGGTGCATTTTCTGTCATGTGTCATCCATGGTGTGGTGCATGTTGCCATGTGTCATCATGCATCATACGTGGTGCATGTTGTCATCATGCATGTTGTTGTGCATGTTGCCATGTGTCATCATGCATGGTGTGGTGCATGTTGCTAAAGTGTCATCATGCATGGTGTGGTGCATGTTGCCAAGTGTCATCATGCATGGTGTGGTGCATGTTGTCATGTGTTACTTACATACCATGAATGGTGCATGTTGTTGCCTATGTGACATCATGCATGGTGTAGTGCATATTCCCATATGTCATCATGCATGGTGTGGTGCATATTCCCATATGTCATCATGCATGTTGTGGTGCATGTTGTCATGTGCCATCATGCATGGTGTGGTGCATGTTGTTAAAGTGTCATCATGCATGGTGTGGTGCATAAGTGCCATGTGATCATCATGCATGGTGTGGTACATATTACCATGTGTCATTGTGCATGAATTAATGGTGCATGTTGATATGTGTCATCATGCATGGTGTGGTGCATGTTGCCATGTGTCATCATGCATGATGTGAGTGCATGTTGCTAAGAATGTCATCATGCCACATGGTGTGGTGCATGTTGCTATGTGTCATCACGCATGGTGTGGTGCGTTATGTTGCCCATGTGTCATCATGCATGATTGTTGGTGCATATTGCCATGTGTCATTGTGCATGTTGTGATGCATGTTGGTATGTGTCATCATGCATGGTGTGGTGCATGTTGCCATATGTCATCATGCATGGTGTGGTGCATGTTGCCAAGTGTCATCATGCATGGTGTGATGCATGTTGCTATGTGCCATCATGCATGTTGTGGTAAATGTTGCTAAGTGTCATCATGCATGGTGTGGTGCATGTTGCCATGTGACATCATGCATGGTGTGGTGCATATTCCCATATGTCATCATGCATGGTGTGGTGCATGTTGGTATGTGTCATCACGCATGGTGTGGTGCATGTTGCCATGTGTCATCATGCATGGTGTGGTGCATGTTGCCATGTGTCATTGTGCATGGTGTGGTGCATGTTGGTATGTGTCATCATGCATGGTGTGGTGCATGTTGCCATATGTCATCATGCATGGTGTGGTGCATGTTGCCATGTGTCATTACATAGTGTGGTGCATGTTGTCATGTGTTACCATACATAATTGTGGTACAGCATGTTACCATGTGTCATCATGCATGGTGTAGTTACATGTTACCCATGGGACATCATGCATAGTGTAATGAATATTTCCATATGTCATCATGCATAGTGTGGCGCATGTTACCATGTGTCTGGTACATGGTGTGTAATTGCATGTTGCCATGTCATCATGCATGGTGTGGTACATGTTGTCATGTCATCATGCATGGTGTGCGTACATTTGCCATAATACCATCATGCATAGTTAAGTGCATGTTACCATAGTGGCATCATGCATGATTGTGGTACATGTTACCATGTAATCATCATACATAGTGTGTGTGGTGCATGTTAGTATAATGTCATCATACATGGTGTAGTGCATGTTGTCATCATGCATGGTGTGGTGCATTCTGTCATGTGTCATCATGCATGGTGTAGTGCATCATTTGCTTATGTGTCATTGTGCATGGTGTGTGGTGCATTCTGTCATGTAATCATCATGCATGGTGTGGTGCATTTTGCCATGTGTCATGCATGGTGTGGTGCATGTTGCCATATGTGTCATCATGCATGGTGTGGTTACATTTTGTCATCATGCATGTTGTGGTGCATGTTACGTTATGTGTCATCATGCATGGTGTGGTGCATGTTGCTATAAGATGTCATCATGCATGGTGTGGTGCATGTTGCCAGAGTGTCATCATGCATGGTGTGGTGCATGTTGTCATGTAAGCCACCATGCATGGTGTGGTGCATGTTGCTATGTGTCATCATGCATGGTGTGGTGCAGCATGTTGCCATGTGACATCATGCATGGTGGTGCATATTCCCATATGTCATCATGCATGGTGTAGCGGATGTTGCCATGTGTCATGCATGGTGTGGTGCATGTTACCATGTGTCATCATGCATGGTGTAGTGCATGTTGTCATGTGTCATCATGCATGGTGTGGTGCATGTTGTCATGTGCCATCATACATGATAATGGTGCATGTTGTTAAGTGTCATCATGCATGGTGTGGTGCATGGTGCCATGTGTCATCATGCATGGTGTGGTGCATATTACCATGTGTCATTGTGCATGGTGTGGTGCATGTTGATATGTGTCATCATGCATGGTGTGGTGCATGTTGCCATGTGTCATCATGCATGATGTGATGTGCATGTTGCTGGGGTGTCATCATGCATGGTGTGGTGCGCTGTTAACTGCTGTCATCACGCGGATGGTGTGGTGCGCATGTTGCCATGTGTCATCATGCATGGTAATGGTGCTATCATTGCCATAATGTCATTGTGCATGGTGTGATGCATGTTGGTATGTGTCATCATGCGCCCATGGTGTGGTGCATCATTGCCATATGTCATCATCATGCATGGTGGTGCATGTTGCAAGTGTCATCATGCATGGTGTGATGCATGTTGCTATGTGCCATCATGCATGGTGTGAAGTAAATGTTGCTAAGTGTCATCATGCATGTGTGGTGCATGTTGCCATGTGACATCATGCATAATTGTGGTGCATATTCCATATGTCATCATGCATCGTGTGGTGCATGTTGCTATGTGTCATCCACGCATAATTGTGGTGCATGCTGCCAGCGTGTCATCATACATGGTGTGGTACATGTTGCCATGTGTCATTGTGCATGGTGTGGTGCATGTTGGTATGTGTCATCATGCATGGTGTGGTGCATGTTGCCATATGTCATCATGCATGGTGTGGAGCATGTTGCCAAGTGTCATCATGCATGGTGTGATGCATGTTGCTATGTGACATCATGCATGGTGTGGTAAATGTTGCTAAGTGTCAGCATGCATGGTGTGGTGCATGTTACCACTTGTCTTCATGCATTGCGTAATTGCATGTTACCATACGTGCCATCATGCATGGTGTGGTGCATGTTACTAAAGTGTCATCATGCATGGTGTGGTGCATGTTGCTAAAGTGTCATCATGCATGGTGGTGCATGTTGCCATGTGTCATCACCACATGGTGTAGTGCATGTTACCATGTGACATCATGCATGGTGTGGTGCATGTTACCATGTGACATTATTGCATGTTGTAGTGCATGTTGCCATGCGTCATCATGCATGGTGTGGTGCATGTTGCCATGTGACATCATGCATGGTGTGGTGCATATTACCATATGTAATCATACATGGTGTGGCGCATGTTGCCATGTGTCATGCATGGTGTGGTGCATGTTGCCATGTGTCATCATGCATGGTGTGGTGCATGTTGGTATGTGTCATCATGCATGGTGTGGTGCATGTTGTCATCATGCATGGTGTGGTGCATGTTGTCATCATGCATGGTGTGGTGCATGTTGTTGCCATGTGTCATCATGCATGGTGTGGTGCATGTTGTCATGTGTTACCATACGCGGTGTGGTGCATGTTGCTATGTGTCATCATGCATGGTGATACATGTGCCATGTGACATCATGCATGTTGGCATTATGACATCATGCATGGTGTGGTCATACGTAATTATATTACGTTGCCATATGTCATCATGCATGTGTGTCGTAATGCATGGTGGTGCATGTTGTCATGCATGGTGCCATGTGTCATGCATGGTGTGGTGCATGTTGCCATGTGTCATCATGCATGGTGTGGTGCATGTTGTCATGTGTCATCATGCATGGTGTGGTGCATGTTGCCATGTGTCATTGTGCATGGTTTGGTGCATGTTGTCATGTGTCATCATGCATGGTGTAGATGCATTTTGCCATGTGTGCCATCATACGTGGTGTGGTGCATGTTGCCATGTGCCATCATGCATGGTGTGGTGCATGTTGCCATGTGTCATCCTGCATGGTGTGGTGCATGTTGGTATGTGTCATCATGTATGGTGTGGTGCATGTTGCTATATGTGAACATGCATGTAACATGCAACACACAGGTGTAACACTGATGACAAACATGGTAAACATGACAATATTCTACAATGATGGCCTATGCATGGCCTGTTCACCAGCCATGTGTATCCGGTGGTTTTGCTTGAGTTAACCAACGGTTGGAACAGTTCCACGGGTAGCTGTAATTCGGTTTGTAATCTGTTTTAGGATGATTAGCTCTAGAAGGTTTCAACCAACACATATCTGTGCCACATTTTTATAACTAGTTTGTGTGTACATGGCTGATTTTATGTCTAATTGCACACTCACCCACGAGGTTTGTAGAATCTAATTTGGGAGCAGGGAACGTTGACACGTCACCTTTGTTGAAGGCAAACATTCTTAACTCCTCCGGTAAGGTAGCTGGTATTGGCATAACGGTGCTCACTTGGATGTCTCTAGGCTCAAACATGCTCTGCTGCACCTCTGCCATCTTCAGGATCTCTTTCTCGGAGTACACTTTATCCACAGGCATAAACTCACTTAAATTTGTGTCAGGATTCAATGACAAAGGGTCAATGAGATCACATCACCAGTGTGTTTCAACTCTTTGCTAGATAAGTCAGATTTTTGATTGAAAATATGTATTGTCAAACATAGTTTTGTTGCAGCATGATCTTGGAGATTCCAGTCTTCAAGACCTGGTTCCCTCACTGGACCTTGAAGTTCATCAGTTTCTTGCTTGTTTGTCTTCATTAGTTTGTTCACTGTTGTGTGTTTGGGCAATGTTGATGATGTTTTTAGCCCCCAGACTTTCCAGTCTGCTACCTGACTCACTCCAAGTCTGAATAGTTGTTACTTGAGGGCAGAGTATTTCTGCTGGAGACAACAACGCCACCCTGATGGAGGGCCACGACTCTCCATACACTGGCTTGTAAAAGGTGTCAAAAGTGTTCCAAAGCCAGTGTAGAAGAGTGTGGCTTTTCTTTTCTCAGTTTGTTGCCTGTGGAAAATAAACTTCGCAATAATTTGTCAATCTAGCATACAAGTGGTAGCCATTGCTTTTTCAATTCAGTACTTACTGTTGAAATGTTCATTAACACTAAGGAGATTGGTTGTATTGGTCAAACAGTTAAATGCATGAGGATCATAAGAATTTATTTACATACTTGCACATCAGTTAGATCTTGCTCTACATGCAGGATCCCACAGGTCTTGATGTATCAGTGCATCCTATCACCATCAACTACATATTAAGAGTTGTTCATCTTAAGGGCTGTCAAACATTTAAATTCTTCCCTAGCAATTTAATAATGGACTGGATCTGTGCACAAAGAAGCACAAGAAATACATAAGCAGACATGTTTTCATAACTTGGGAAAAGAAAATAATGACATTGTTAGGCAACTTGTTGACATCGTTTGGTTCTTGACCCTGTTTAATGAATCATTTCAATTACCAGTACACTTGCACTCAAAGCATAACACTCCAATGTTGACGTCAAGGAAAACATCAGAAAACAAGAAAGTCTTCAACATGTTCAACATGATTCTTGAAATGACCGCAAAACTGAACGAGTATAACTTCAAACATATCTGGAGTTACATGACATACGTGACTACTCAGGCTTCCCTGGTATTATAAGATTCACATGTAACATGGTAAACCATTAAGACTCTTTGGATCACGCCAAGGCTATTTGGAACAGTACTTTCCATGAAAAGGTTCAGAAAAACATCAAGTCTATATAACATATGAAGACAGCCTGAAAAAAATGACAGACTCATATCAAGATTATCTTCAGGCATAAAAACATGTACCCAAACTGATCGGTAGCATCCTTAAAGGAGGACCTGACTCAGGCTGTCTGCAACTGCCACTAATAATGTCACTCAAATAGCTGCCATCAACTAATTATGCATATGAGTACGAGAACTGGGCTATCAGCCATAACAGCAGCTAACTTAGACTTTTTGAGGAAAGAGACTTTGTCTTAATCATGCATTCCTGAACACTGATTATGTACCATATGATCTATTGAGGTATTGAGGTATTTTGTTATAGCATACAGCACATATCAATTAATTTCTTCAAGAAGCCAACAGCCAGCTATCAAACAATACAGTTCTGTATTGTTCAGTATACAGCAAATACATATTTTTTATCAGCTTACAGATTCATACAAGAGTCATCAGAAAATGACAAGTCTCCTTAGCCCAAAACAAATTCGAAGAGAACAAATCATCTGACAGTTACTTTAAGTAAACTTGATGAGGGAACTTCTATCTAATCTTTCTGTCAAAATACAAAAGTATAGTTATTGAGATTTAAAAAATTAACATGGAACTGGGAATAGGAACTTTGTTTTCCTTGTGGGAAAGCAACATCAAGAGTCAGAATCAAACATAAAAGAAAATACAAACTAAAAACATAATTCCATAAATACCATGAGGCACCAGCTGACAACTGGGTCTCGATGTGTGCACAGCTTCATGAAAGAATATTTATTGGTTTTAGCGATAGGATCCGAGCCAACAAAGCACAGTGAGCGGGTCTAAATCAAACTTGTTACCATGGAAACAAAAGAAATATAAATTCTAAACATCCTAAATAGTGCTGAAGGGGTTGTTGTCAGCAGTGGTACTACAGGTGTGTACCTCAGGTGCGTTTTCTTTACACAGAACATGTACCCTAGACAAAATCAAAATCAAAATACAGAAACGTTCCCTACAATGATTCTATCTTTACTGAGTCATACTGTTGTCTTACATGCATTTTGATTGCATTGTTTGAGAAGTTGTTATCCATTAAATTTTGTTTGATTGCATGTGAGAACCCATTATGAGTCAAAGTCAAACTTGTTGCCATGGAAATGGAAAAAATAAACTTGTAAAATGCACAAATGTAGCCGAAATGACCCAGGTTTGGATGAAAAATATGGAAGAGCCTCTCCAGAAATGACAGCAATTACACACACACACACACACACACCCACACCTAACTGTGAAATATGAACGGTCCCCATCGATATTACTTGCAGTATTCATGACACACCGCTTCGGTTTGAACATTAAATCACCGGTGTAACTATAGAAACTGTTCATGTTAATCCTGGGTTTGCATGGTAACTTCAAATTACCTCAGGATACACTACATGGAGCATCCTCGATAAACTCCAGGGTATATTACGTTAACCTTCATGTAACACTTTCAAGAGTTAAATGTAAGAATTTCCCTTCCATACCCATTTCTTTTTGAAACGGAATCTCTTGAATTCCAGTAGTGTCGACGTTCTCAAATGGAACCTGCCACAGGGAAGTATAGACTTAAACATCATTACAAAATGTGCTTTCCATCCAATGTCATTTGGGTATTCAAAACAAACGCACGTGTGACGGAAACGGAATAGAGTGGTGAAAACCGATAGCGCATGACGACTGGTGAAATGTAACACAACATATGATTGGCTAGACTTACTGGGTAGCCAATCATTTAGCACCTTACTATTCCATTGATCGTGGAAGGGTTAGAAAGAGACACGTTTGTCAACAACACCACTTTCGTAATTTGATGTAATTGAATCTTTTCCGAGCGTCACAGTACTCTGTGCAAAGATATTCTGTCTACCATAAGCCATGGAGGGAAGATATAACATGCGCAGTCCAGGTTTGTTAATTTTCGATCGCAGCTAAACCACCTCGGCTTTTACATTTGGGGCCCGACAAGTACTAATGTTAAAGTGACGGGCACCTGTCGTGTTCGTTCTGATATCAGCCAGCTCCGATTTTGTAGTATTCATACAGATGCCTGCGTATTGTCACTTTGTTGGGTTGTTTTGACCAAACAAGTTTATTGCAGAATGGCTAATATCGGAAAATGATAAAAATTTAATGTGTCGTGTGTGCGCGCGCGCGTTTGTGCGTGTGTAACTGTCAAGCAGCATGACGATAGGCAGTCATTAGGACACCACCTATAAGTAGATCTTTTATTTAATCTCCGTATGTCCTTATCTGAACTGGCAGTTGATACTTTAGTATGCATCAACTGATTTGCATTTACAACTAGCAGTGGTCTGCATCAAATTGAAAATGTGAAATGCCCTCCATCCCAGGCAGAGTTTTTGTATCCTGATCTCGTTTCGAGGATGTAAAGACAAAAACTTAATTTTTTTATCTTTAATATCATTTAAAGTTTAAAGGTTTTATTTTACTAACCTTGAGTGATAAAGGATATATTCATCTATTTCACACAAAAATATCAATTTTTTCCTACAAAAATAGTGTTGATGACATCGTATCGGCGAAACTGTTGCTCACCACATGCGGGGATTTTGTATGAGCCATACTTTTGGCTCCGCCCTCTGAGGGAGCGTTGTGATCACATGGCTTCCTGTTTATATACTGCCTGTCACTAGCAGAAAACTGATCTTGCTGAATTTTCGCTTGCTATTTTTAGTTCTATAGGCAGTTGATTTAATAACAATCTCGGAAAATAATATTAACGTTTGTTTTACTTTTTATATAACTTAACTTCCGGTTCCATTGTCAATAAAACTTCTATGACAGCGACTGGGCATCCAGCCCTACCGATGGAACTGCTAGTGCACTCAATCGGCGCACATACTCACCTGATATAGTGCGAGCAATGCAATCGTCAGGGTATATTGATCAGGTTGAAATCACCCATATACTAAGAGACCATGGCCAATGAGCAGAGCATCGCAGAAATCAGAGAGCAAAAATTCCTTTAATGTTTGTATCAAATGGCGACTATTAGTGAATACAAGTCTCCTTTTATAAAGTTTGCAGTTTAATGCTGGTGATATACACTTTTAATCAAGCATTTGTGGTAGCATTATGCAACCTGGCATGTTATGGGAATAAATTCAACCTTTCTGTGACGTATAATGTTGTATGTTGTGGTGATAGGACTTGACATTTAGTCTGATCCTTGATTGTCCTTGGATAGATTTATTCTCCCTGTTCACACTGAATCACAGGTAGCTTTGTGCCTCAACACAAAATCATAACAGCAGACAAACAGAATTTCATAAATCTAACTGTCTACCATATCAGTATCTGGTTACATGTATATGAATATAATTATATGGCGTATTTCAAATACGTTCAGTCACTCCCAAAAAATATTTGGCACAATGTGTGAAGCCCACTTCTGGTGTCCCCCACCAGAATATTGCTAAAAGCAGCCTAAAACTAAACTCACTAACCCAACCATTCTTTTTGTGGTCCTCACATCTCACCTCCATAACAACATGAACAAGGCTGATTGTACTGACACAAGTACTCCTGGTCACTGGTCCACACAACTTGTAGCTCTCATTAGTCTGTCTCACAGTCCCTGAACCACATTATTTTCCCTACTGCCAAGCCCTCTCTGCAGTGCTAAAGCCCTAAATAAAGCAAGTCTAGATTTCCTCAGGTTCTGAATCTCTGGTCTCCCTAGGGCCCATTTTGAATTTAAATGGGCTTGTTTGTTACCATCAAAATTATATATATTCAGAGACTAAGCATTAGTCTAAGCTCTCATCTGTTCTCCACTGTACGCTTGTCCTGATAATTTACAGCTAGTTTCTGGAGGAGTTATTCATGGATATCACCTGCATCTGACCCAGCTGGGGCAGGTCCCATCCATTGCCCAAGCTTGTTTATTGCACCAGTTTCAAAATTTCAGCAGGGCTCCAGATAAGGGCCGTATAGGTAATAATACGGATAAAAAAATGCGCGATACTGGTAGGAAATAATTTAGAAAACATAGCAGATACGCACCACAGCAATGGTGTACGGTCTTAGAATCATTTACAGACATATTTATCTGAAAAAAAGTATTTTTATTGTTTTTTTACCTGTTTACACAAGAGTAGCAATGTTGTTGTGCATATATGATCTGAAACACAAGATCACATACTCCATTAAATTCCATTCAAGTGCTTAAAATGTACTCTTAAGTTTTCCAGTACTCCTATATTTAAAAATAGGAAGTACGTACTCCTGATGTTGAAAAATTATCTGGAGGCCTGTTTCAGCATATCAGGGTTACTATATTATTGTATGAAAAAGATACCAGATGGTGAAATAAGGCGTGTGGTGGAGGAGACAAAGTAGATATAGGTAAGCTCGGTCGATATTGTTTTACTCAGGTCAATAAAACCAATATCGACCTCTACAACAGTCTATAGTCAGTTTGACTCAAAAGTGGACGATGAATTGCAATCTAACTTTCGAAAACTAATAAACATATAATACTCAATGAAAAGCTGATCATAATCAAAACATCAGACCAACTCTGTGATTTGTTTACAGAATTTATGTCCTAAAATTAAAAAAGTTGTTTAACAAACTATCATTAAAATTTTGACACAGTTCACTATTTGTTACGAGGGAGGAGTGCAGTGAAAGGGACAGCCAGGTGTTCGAGAAGCACGTGCACAAGTGCCCACAAAGTTATTGATTCATTAACCTGTGCTGTGCCGTCTCTATCCTTTCTCGCACCACTGGGTGTCCCTTTCTCTGCACTCCTCCCTCGTAACAAACAGTGAACTGTGTCAATACTTTAATGATAGTTTCTTAAACAACTTATTTGGTGGAGTCCGGAATATTTTCAAATATAAGAAAACTGTTAGGTATTAGTAAATGATAAACATGTGTACTATTTATATTTATGTGGCAATTTTGTACAATGATAACATTTGCAATTCATCGGTGTGTTTCTGACTCAAATGGACTGTATAATTGTGTTATTATATAAAGAAAAGAAACAGGTTTTAACATAAACTTTTAATGCACACACTGTGTCATCTCCGGGATACAGCTATCAGTACTTAACATATCTTCACAATCAAAATAATTCATTAAATGTACCATAAACAACATCAAAGACAATTTTTCTAAGTGGTTTGTATATTTTTGTGAAAGACCTGCCTTTTGTGCTAAGCATCATGCATCATGAAACCAAACCCGGTTGTGTCCAAGGGGAACCGCATGATATAAATTTCCATTTTCCATTTCTGAATTTTGTTGCTGGAAAAGTTTTGGACAATCTTTATTCAAGCGACTAATGTACTTGATGAAAGTCCTCACTGGACATCAGGGATCGTCTGTAAGATATAGACCAAATAAATAAAAATAATGATAAAAGTGATCATACATATATTTCATTCGAACTCGGGACATAATTTTAGCTAACAATTTGATAGCAAGAGTTGCCTCCCTTTCCCTCAAGTGTCTTTGGATGCCATGTCGATAAGACATTAATAGTTACTTGCTTGTAGTGTTCTCCTTTCTCTGACCTGGCTTCCAATTAAAATTTTGCCAGTGATGAATCAAGTTCATCTTCGCTAAAGTTCTCAAAATCAGCTGATTTACCCCTTTGTTGTAGATATTCTCTGAAAACCTTCACAGGAGTGTTAGTTGGCCTTTTAGTATTCTTTGAATCAATATTTTCCAAGATCTCCTTCTGTTTGTCATCTGTAATATCAGCTAAGCAGCTGATTTCTATTCTGGCAGCTGAATCCATTGCTGAGCGGCTAAAAATAAGCTGGCGTCGCGAGGAAATGACATCAAACCGAGTGATCTGATTAAGCTGAAAAGCAGGCTAAGCCCCTTAAGTAAGGGATTCCCTGTCTATTTTTAGTAACTCAAGTCAATATAGTGTTTTGTAGGCGTGACGAGTATTTTGACCAATCGTGATACAGGAAAAATACTACCTATGTAATAACACATATTATATCTAGATAGCAGTGTTGATACATCCAGAAAATCTGGAATGTTGTGAAAGTCTTCATGGTGAAATGTTGTTGACCTTTATCCATATGTCTGGAGGGTGGCTTTAGTCTAATGTCTGTTTGGTCAATCACAAGTCCATGTAATTGTATATTATGGAGAAACTGCATGGTGATCTTATCTTAAAAGTCTGATGTGCAAGGTTTGATTGTCACTAGGAAGCCAAGTTGTGTTCCTCTATGGCCTCAATTCGTTATAGATGTTACACCCACTCTGTCTTCAAACGTTTTGCTGACTTGGTTGACGCATGTCATCATACCCCAATTGCGTAGATAGATGCTCGTGCTGTGGATCACCAGAGGCCCAGATAAGCTGCGTATCCGGGTAAAATATGCATAGAAAATTTTCATTTACGCATTGAAAAATAATTGTTGCGTACCAATTATGCATTTAAAATGTTAGATACGCAAAACGTTTAAAACAAATGCGTACAGAATATATTTATAAAAATCGCTTGCGTAATGAAAAAGATATCGATTGCTATGAGCAAGTTGTACTGTTAGTATAGGACTAGTGTCGTACTGTCAGTATAGGATGAGTGATTTTTTATGAAATCATTTCCATTATATTTAAGTTGGTTTTGATTAGGTATGACATAAGGCAGAACATACCAGCTTAGTAAACTTACTCAATGACATAATACTTAGGTTAGTAAAATGACTGAAATCGCACATATTTTGAAAGCAGTGGGTAGCGGAAAATGAAATGCCTACTCAACATTCATAATACCCACTCCAAAAAATACAGTGGGTACAGTACCCACATGAGCTAAATCTAGATCTGGGCTCTCGATCACTGGATTGTCTGGTCAGACTTCGATTATTACAGACCGCCATATAGCTTGAATATTGCTGAGTGCGGCATGAAACTAAACTCACTCACTCACTTAAAAAGATTTGTTAATCATGCTTCCTGCCTGTGTATACTGACATGATTCCGGCCCGTGTATACAGACATGATCCTGATGTTTGTTTCATTCTGTCTCCCGGCCCGTGTATACAGACATGATCCGATGTTTGTTTCAGCCGTGAAGCGGCTAATGAAGGAGGCACAGGAGCTGAGAGAACCGACAGAACAGTACTTTGCTCAGCCTCTTGATGTAAGCAGATTCAGAGATCATGCTCACACCCTTGATGTTACTATGGTTACAGTGAAAAGTATTGTAGGTGTTTGCATGACGGTTTACAAATATCCAGAGTTTACTCAATATGAGTATTTGTAGTTAACTAATCACAGACTCATCAACCACTATTCAGTCCAGAACTTAAGAAGGTTCTTCCAGAACTTGTAGATGTAAGTTCCTCAGTACACATGTTAACAATTGTGCTTTGTTACAAGATATGATTATTTTTCCTTATCCTGACTCATGCTTAATTGCTTGTCTTCTTCTTCTTGCGTACTATAGTGGAACACTTGAATCCCCTTTTGAAGCTCCTTTAAAAAAAGTGGACGTAAAATCACTCACCCCAGTTGTCTCCCTTGAAACCATCTTTTGGCGCGAAAGTTGGTCACATAATCGGCCATGCTTGTCACTCTCTCCTTCTTCGCCCTAGTGGACGGTTGTGAGAGCGCCTGGGTCCCCTATACGGCATATATCCTTTGAATTTTAGGCTTTTATACTAAATTAGGCTGTATAAGGGCTTTAGCAAGGATTTACCAGCAATATGGTTTGAAATTTATTCTAAATTTGTCCGTTTTTCACATTGTTGACAACATGTCTCAACTTGTTTACATTTCATGAAGACTTGCATTTCTTGCAGGTTTCGGTTGTCAGCTGCTGATCCGCATTTATTATGTCCTAACTGCACTTCTATATGTTCTTCCAGCCTCCGCTGTAAACTTTGTCAGCATTTATCTCAAATTGAATTTTCTAATTATTTTTATTCTATTCATAGACGTGCCAAGGACAAGTTGAGGCAGCAATTGCAAGTCATGTCTCAACAGGGTGAATGCGTTAATAACCGTGGGTTGTTGTTTGTCGGGGTACATCATTCCAGTGAGCTGCCGGTGATGTCTTCAGAGCAGAGGAATGAGGGTTCCGGCCTTAGGGAAAGATCGTCATCGACTCAACAATCCTCGTCGCAGTCCAAGTAGACCAGGACGTCGTCTGCTGTGAAGACTAAGCCGTCTTCAGACAAGTCTACAGTCAAGTCGTCAGTGGGGGCAGCGAAGAAGTCGAGGTCCTTCGCCGCAGATATCAACCCATCGGATGAAGCAGACGTTTACGATGAGCCGCCGATCCTCATCCCTGAAGTACCGGTGAGGAAGAAGACGAGATCTTCTTCTACACTGGCGTCTGCAACTATATCAACGCAATCAGGCGTCCTATCTCGCAGACTGCAAATACCAGAGGACAGGCAGTCCTTAGATGACACCTCAGCACTGTCAGATCTTGGCGTCATCTGTACAACAACAACAGTTATCAAGCGCCAGACCTTCAACCCGGGCATCTTTATGCAGCAGTTTACCCGCAGATGATGGACCTGATGGAGCGTAGGTTACGCTCAAGAGAAGACTGCAGAGAAGCAGACAAGTCTGCAAGGAGGACGAACATAGTCTACACCTCGCCGGGATGAAGGAAGCAACCGAAGAATACGTTAGAGTGAAGGGCGGCTCATGAAGACAGCAACTCTCGTGGCGGCACTTTCGTGAAGGCATTAGCAGAAGAACCACTGGTGAAGACACTCATGGAAACAACAACCCGAGACAGCACCTGCGAAGGCATTCCGCGAAGGAAGCAAGCAATTATGAAGAGACTCCTGCAATAGACAAGGAGCATTCACGAAGGCATCTCAGATCATCTTCATCCTCGGTTCAGACAATCACCAGAGGTCTACAGCGTACACGCAGAAGAGATTATACACCTTCCGCGAGGCATACAGCTCATAGAGACAGGTCACCGTCGCACAGATCCTGGGGAAGGTCTTCATGGTCGTGCATGCCGCGCAGATACAGATCACCTAGCACATCTCCAATAAGGCACTTTCGCGAGTGCCTTCGCATGCCAAACTTACACATAGATCTCCACCTAGAGATCAGGACCAATGTAGCGATCTTCTGAGCGAGGCGCATCGAAACCGGAAGATGATGGAGGAGTCATCTTCTCCGATACAGAGATCAAATCCTGGATGGCTAATGGTCTGGAGCTTGCATCACCATCTAAAGAGAATAATGAAGCATACACTTACATGATGTCTAACGACAATTTTGACACGCTAACGCTGCCACCCATAGAACCTGTATTGGACGTCCCAGACAACCTCAGCTCAGCCTTCAAGAAGGCAACGAAGTATCAGAGTCAAAGCATTCCACCTTTTAATGCCAAGAAATTTTCACTACATCACATGGAACCGTTCATGAAGACCCGAGAAGTAGATGAAAACTATAAACTCATCAATGACGCTTGCATCAGGACTTATAAAGTGGAAGACAAGAAGCTAGCGCAACTAGACACAACCACTAGACGTACCTTCTTTGGTTTAGCCAGGTCAAGAGCCATCAACGAAACCCTAATTGCAAAGTTTGCAAACTCAACATCTGAAGAAGATCGGATGACCTGCTCAGCTTTACTGACCCAAAGGAAAGACCAACAGTTCATGTCAGAACATCTAGCGTCTACATCGGCTGGATTAACACTGCTACGAAGACAAGGTCTACTATCATCTTGTAAATGGAGTGAGAAGTTCACAAAACCACTATTCAGAGCTCCATGGGCAGCAACGAATATCTTGGCAGAGGAAATTGAGGATGTGGCTAAAGAAGTTACGAAGGAGTCCAGAGAAGTCCATCGATACACTGGCCAGCGTTTTCAGACAGACATCACAGCGCTACTCTGGCAAATCTAAATTTGCAGGAATTCAGAGAGCTAGAGACAAGAACTATGGCAACTCTACAATAACTTTGTGTATTCAACACAATCGGTTATTTTAAGGCGCTTCATTGAGACTGATGACTACAGGCTACAAGTATCAACGTTAAGCAAGTATGGAACTTCAGCTGATCATCTGTATAAAATGACGACTGCATTATCTTCAGTGAAGAAGAGAAAAATCACAACAGCCAGGGAAACAGTCTACCTACATTGGTATTACGCGGCGAAATCTTTCGCGCGTTTTCCACTCAGCCTGCTATACATGTGTTCACTCGTGTATTCCGGGAAGTTACGGACAAGGCCGAGTGTTGATGAGAGAAATCAACGACTGCACAAGATTTTACAAGGATCTTTTTCCTGCAACACCAGTGACGTCACATCGCGGGAATCTGAGATGAATCAAATGCTGCAATCTTATTGGTCCATGAGAGACAACGCCCAGTGCAGAAGTCAGGCACAGCTCACGTGTCAGGAAGTTATCTACAATCGTAAACAACTTTTCAACATGGGAGGAAGGCTCCATTTACAGTCCAGTTAGCAGGGTACAGCGTGATTTGACCGTCTTCACGGGTCATAAGGACCTTCCCTGCAGTTTGAAGATTGGTAATCTGACGAATTGCAGCAACATACGTTTGACGATTTCTGCTCGAGACAGCCATCTAGAGACGACGAATTATGCATAATCACTGCATTTGTGGCGATTCTGATGACAAGTCCTTTTAACATATTATGGGAAGATTGAAGAAATAAACTTCAAGTCATGTTGCCAGAATCGGACATGTTGCTTCGCTGCCATTACGGACATGGCAAGGGTACCTACAACGTAGGATATGAGCAGATTTTTGGGAAGATGTTCATCTCACCGCAGAATCGCATTGTCGTCTCAAAGAATAGTTGGGTCTAGATACAAGCCATGGTATCTCAAGCACTACTCTCTCTGTTACCACTACGAAGTTGACAGAGCCTACTCAGTTTTCTCACGTCAGCACAAGACATGACTCGCAGAGGAGGTCTACAATTGCGCACACTACAAGTGTTTGTGAACGCCCATGTCAACCGTCTGGTCTCCATAGGACTACCAGACGGATTGAAACCATATCTTCTATGGTGGACTAGGAAGCGTTAATACCGAAGGTATTACAGGGAATCAAGGTGACAAACAAGTTACAACTGATTTTGGTCACGCCCTATTGGCCAGCGAGTTGCGGTTTCCCAACCTTATACAAGATCTAGGAAAGCCAATCCTACAACTTCCAAGTAGCTAAATCTACTGATTCATCCACACACCAAGCAAGCACACTGAAATCCAACAATGTTTCAGCTACACGCATGGGGCGTATCACGACTTGCTTGAAGAAAAGAGGATATTCCACCAGAGCGGCCAAAGCAGTAACTTTAGCCTTACGTGAGATCAACCCGTAGCTTGTATGATGACAAGTGGCAAAGTTTTGAGAAATATGCGGAATAAAGGCTTCACTGCGATCGAAGCAACACATCCTCAAGTGGGCGGAATATCTTTGTCATCTTAGAGACTGACAAAGCGATTAAAGGGATCTACACTCTCTACATACCTAGCGGCCTTGAGCACAGTTATCACGATGGAATCATGTCTAAAACTGATCAAAGTACCAGAGATACTGGCACTACTTCGGCTCATTCAAGTTGGAAGACCAACAAAGGAAATTCAAAAGCCGGCTTGGGATCTCAATGTGGTTTTACAGCATCTTACCAGTGAAGATTATGAACCACTAGAAAGGACATCATATGAGAAATTAACTCATAAAACCCTGTTCTTCGTAGCCCTAGCAACAGCGGCAAGGATGTCAGAAATTCATGCTCTAGACTTCGGAAGAACAATATTTGACACGCATCATGACACAGTGCATCTGGGACTAAGATGGGATTTTTTAGCAAACAATCAACTGCCCGGTCAACCAGACAGACAATTCCATATCCCAGCACTTTCGTCGATATTAGGACCACAGGATACGCAAGATCGATCCTTATGTCCAGTCAGAGCATTGAAAATATATCTACAGAGGTCTAAATTGAGGAGACGAAAATTCAAGCGCCTTTTCATCCCTCTATCCACGGAGACATCTACAGAAGTCTCACGTACAACTATATCAATATGGATGAAAGCCGTCATATTGAAAGCCTATAAAGCAGCAGGACATGATCCTCCACGAGCCTCCAATCCTCATGAAGTCAGAGCACTGGCATCCACGCTAACTCTGCATGGAAACTGCTCCATCTCAACAATAATGGAGGGCTGCTTTTGGAGATCGAAGACGGTGTTTGCCAACCACTACCTCAGACACATGGCTACAGAGGACTTCTCCGGCATCCACCAGTTTGGGCCCCTTGTTGTAGCACAACAACTGGCGGTACCTCAAAGACTAAATCTCACCCCTTTGTCACGTGACTTGTAAAAGCCAAACACTCAACAGAGTTACGGTTTTAAAGTCCATGTGCACGTCTAGGACAGGCTAGCATGAGTGATGGACCCTGTACTTGTAAGGACTTACTTGTACACGAAGTAGGGTCACTTCTCCACTTGATGCAAGCATGAAGAGATGGAGTTGCATAAATCCACACAGAATGTCAGGAGAAGATTTCCAGGATAAATCTGACAAGTTGTGGTCCCCCCCACTCATCAGAGAAAGCTGGAAGAAAGGACAAATACCATTAGAAGTTCCCAAGGGGGTATAAGGACGTAAATCAGCAGAGAATCCAGAGTGGCTTGACCCACCACCGTTTCCATCAGATTCTACAAGCAATTAAGCATGAGTCAGGATAAGGCAAAAATATGTAATTTTCTGATTAAAATTGATATTTTATACTTATCCTGACTCATGAGGTTAGCCCTCCAAAACCTCCCCTCATGGCAATCTGGATTTCCCTGCAAATCCAAGTGTCGGGCTCGAACATACGGAGAGAGTGACAAGCATGGCCGATCATGTGACCAACTTTTGCGCCAAAAGATGGGGGAAAGGGAGACAACTGGGGTGAGTGATTTTACGTCCACTTTTTTTAAGGGAGCTTCAAAAGGGGATTCAAGTGTTCCACTATAGTTCGCAAGAAGAAGAAGACAAGCAATTAAGCATGAGTCAGGATAAGTATAAAATATCAATTTTAAGCAGAAAATAACATTATCTTTATAAATATGACATGTTCTATGAGTAAACATTTGTTGTTTTAATTTATTTCATTTATTTGTCACCTTTATTTAATGAAAACTCTTCTGAACAGTAATAATCCACCAAAACACTTGTACCGAATGGATTCAGTCTTATGCTTCATAAGATGCATACATTATGTTTTAGGACAATCTGTTTGAATGGCATTTTACCATCCGTGGACCCTCTGACTCGGAGTTTGAAAGTGGCATATTCCATGGGCGCATCATCCTGCCCCCCGAGTACCCCATGAAGCCCCCCCAGCATCATGATGCTCACAGTCAGTCCTCTTGCTTGCTGTGCTTCTGTTTCAATTTGCTAGAATGTTCTTTGCCGATTCAATTTTAGCTTAGAGTCAACATTTTTCATTACAACATCTCCTCTGAAATTACAATACCTATGGGACCTGAAACCTTCTTTGAATTATCCCAGCGATGGTGTCTCTGAAATATGCGCCCAGAATTCTAATCCATTTAGAAAACTGGCCATGTCAGAAGCTATGTTGTTAATATCAGTTTCAGCATTTTACTTGACAATTTCTGTATATATATCTCTGGTATGAGTATGTAGCAGGTATACTGCAAACAGTTTCCATTTTTGGGGCATAGTTTAATTACTACTTACCGTGGCTTTCACATACCTGTGTTTTCCAGTTTAACTGCCTTTTTCAACATCTCCTCTGACACTACAAGACCCTTGGGACATGTGCCATGAAACTTGATGTGAAATATCTTAACTATGGTGTCTCTTACAATGCTCAGAATTGGAAAACCATATGTTACACCCTCTCACCCACTAGTCTGCCACATTTTTCCACAGGTTATCTGCACACATTGGGAATAAGTGGCAAAAAGTAGGTTTTTTTGCATTTGGTTAGGGCAGCATTTCTATTTTTTGTGTTTCTCATCGTGCGACGTACCGCCTCGTCATAAAAGATTTTCTATCTAAAATTGTTTAATCAGTCGCTGCCACAAGTCCAAAGAAATTGAGAAATTGTAATAAGAATTACAATAAATGAGAATCAAGAACATTATTCGGATAGTTTTGTCTTTATTAAATTTTCTTTTTTTTTTTTTTTTCCCCCCATGTTCAGAATTTGGTGGCTACGTAAAACACATAAAAAATGATGCCCTTACCATGGGTACAAAGCTTTAAGGAAATGGTTACGGTAATATTAGGAGAGGTTGGTGGTAGATGGTTTCACTGCCCCGGACAACAGGCAAAACAAGTCCAAACAGACACAAACTGTCAAGCCAGCTTTTTGTACAGTAGGTATCATGATATCCTTGTTTTGCAGCCGAATGGCAGATTTGAAATCTTGAAGAAGATCTGTCTAAGTATATCGGGCCATCACCCAGAATCCTGGCAGCCATCCTGGTCCAGTAAGTACCCTGAATTTCCTAGTCAGAGTAGTGTGATGGTCATGGTCCAGGAAGTAGTCTGCAGGTCCTAATCCAGGAAGTAGGCTGAAGGTCCTTATCCAGGAAGTAGACTGAAGGTCCTAATCCAGTAAATTGGCTGCAGGTCCTTATCCAACAATTAGGCTGAACATCCAGATCCAGGAAGTAATCTGAAGCTCCTGATCCAGGAAGTAGTCTGAAGGTCCTTATCCAGCAATTAGGCTGAAGATCCTGATCCAGGAAGTAGTCTGAAGGTTCTGATCCAGTAAGTAGGTTGAAGGTCCTGATCCAGGAAGTAGGCTGAAGGTTCTGATCCAGTAAGTAGGCTGAAGGTTCTGATCCAGGAAGTAGGCTGAAGGTCCTGATCCAGGAAGTAGGCTGAAGGTCCTGATCCAGGAAGTAGGCTGAAGGTCCTGATCCAGGAAGTAGTCTGAAGGTCCTGATCCAGGAAGTAGGCTGAAGGTCCTGATCTAGGAAGTAGGCTGAAGGTTCTGATCCAGGAAGTAGGCTGAAGATCCTGATCCAGGAAGTAGGCTGAAGATCCTGATCCAGGAAGTAGACTGAAGGTCCTGATCCAGGAAGTAGTCTGAAGCTCCTGATCCAGGAAGTAGGCTGAAGATCCTGATCCAGGAAGTAGGCTGAAGGTCCTGATCCAGGAAGTAGTCACAGAAGGTTCTGATCCAGTAAGTAGGCTGAAGGTTCTGATCCAGGAAGTAGGCTGAAGCTCCTGATCCAGGAAGTAGTCTGAAGGTCCTGATCCAGGAAGTAGGCTGAAGGTCCTGATCCAGGAAGTAGGCTGAAGGTCCTGATCCAGGAAGTAGTCTGAAGGTCCTGATCCAGGAAGAAGTCTGAAGGTCCTGATCCAGGAAGTAGGCTGAAGATCCAGATCCAGGAAGTAGGCTGAAGGTCCTGATCCAGGAAGTAGTCTGAAGGTCCTGATCCAGGAAGTAGTCTGAAGGTCCTGATCCAGGAAGTAGGCTGAAGGTCCTGATCCAGGAAGTAGTCTGAAGGTCCTGATCCAGGAAGTAGGCTGAAGGTTCATCCAGGAAGTAGGCTGAATATCCTGATCCAGGAAGTAGGCTGAAGATCCTGATCCAGGAAGTAGTCTGAAGGTCCTGATCCAGGAAGTAGTCTGAAGGTCCTTATCCAGCAATTAGGCTAAAAGGTCCTGATCCAGGAAGTAGTCTGAAGGTCCTTATCCAGCAATTAGGCTGAAGATCCTGATCCAGGAAGTAGTCTGAAGGTCCTGATCCAGTAAGTAGGTTGAAGGTCCTGATCCAGGAAGTAGGCTGAAGGTTCTGATCCAGTAAGTAGGCTGAAGGTTCTGATCCAGGAAGTAGGCTGAAGGTCCTGATCCAGGAAGTAGGCTGAAGGTCCTGATCCAGGAAGTAGTCTGAAGGTCCTGATCCAGGAAGTAGTCTGAAGGTCCTGATCCAGGAAGTAGGCTGAAGGTCCTGATCTAGGAAGTAGGCTGAAGGTTCTGATCCAGGAAGTAGGCTGAAGATCCTGATCCAGGAAGTAGGCTGAAGATCCTGATCCAGGAAGTAGACTGAAGGTCCTGATCCAGGAAGTAGTCTGAAGCTCCTGATCCAGGAAGTAGGCTGAAGATCCTGATCCAGGAAGTAGGCTGAAGCTCCTGATCCAGGAAGTAGTCTGAAGGTTCTGATCCAGTAAGTAGGCTGAAGGTCCTGATCCAGGAAGTAGGCTGAAGCTCCTGATCCAGGAAGTAGTCTGAAGGTCCTGATCCAGGAAGTAGGCTGAAGGTCCTGATCCAGGAAGTAGGCTGAAGGTCCTGATCCAGGAAGTAGTCTGAAGGTCCTGATCCAGGAAGAAGTGAAGGTCCTGATCCAGGAAGTAGGCTGAAGATCCTGATCCAGGAAGTAGACTGAAGGTCCTGATCCAGGAAGTAGTCTGAAGGTCCTGATCCAGGAAGTAGTCTGAAGGTCCTGATCCAGGAAGTAGGCTGAAGGTCCTGATCCAGGAAGTAGTCTGAAGGTCCTGATCCAGGAAGTAGGCTGAAGGTTCTGATCCAGGAAGTAGGCTGAATATCCTGATCCAGGAAGTAGGCTGAAGATCCTGATCCAGGAAGTAGTCTGAAGGTCCTGATCCAGGAAGTAGTCTGAAGGTCCTTATCCAGCAATTAGGCTAAAGGTCCTGATCCAGGAAGTAGGCTAAAGGTCCTGATCCAGGAAGTAGGCTGAAGGTCCTGATCCAGGAAGTAGTCTGAAGGTCCTGATCCAGGAAGTAGGCTGAAGGTCCTGATCCAGGAAGTAGGCTGAAGGTCCTGATCCAGGAAGTAGTCTGAAGGTTCTGATTCAGGAAGTAGGCTGAAGATCCTGATCCAGGAAGTAGGCTGAAGATCCTGATCCAGGAAGTAGACTGAAGGTCCTGATCCAGGAAGTAGTCTGAAGGTTCTGATTCAGGAAGTAGGCTGAAGATCCTGATCCAGGAAGTAGGCTGAAGATCCTGATCCAGGAAGTAGACTGAAGGTCCTGATCCAGGAAGTAGGCTGAAGGTCCTGATCCAGGAAGTAGGCTGAAGGTCCTGATCCAGGAAGTAGTCTGAAGGTCCTGATCCAGGAAGTAGTCTGAAGGTCCTGATCCAGGAAGTAGGCTGAAGATCCTGATCCAGGAAGTAGACTGAAGGTCCTGATCCAGGAAGTAGTCTGAAGGTCCTGATCCAGGAAGTAGTCTGAAGGTCCTGATCCAGGAAGTAGGCTGAAGGTCCTGATCCAGGAAGTAGTCTGAAGGTCCTGATCCAGGAAGTAGTCTGAAGGTCCTGATCCAGGAAGTAGGCTGAAGGTTCTGATCCAGGAAGTAGGCTGAAGATCCTGATCCAGGAAGTAGGCTGAAGATCCTGATCCAGGAAGTAGTCTGAAGGTCCTGATCCAGGAAGTAGTCTGAAGGTCCTTATCCAGCAATTAGGCTAAAGGTCCTGATCCAGGAAGTAGGCTAAAGGTCCTGATCCAGGAAGTAGGCTGAAGGTCCTGATCCAGGAAGTAGTCTGAAGGTCCTGATCCAGGAAGTAGGCTGAAGGTCCTGATCCAGGAAGTAGGCTGAAGGTCCTGATCCAGGAAGTAGTCTGAAGGTTCTGATTCAGGAAGTAGGCTGAAGATCCTGATCCAGGAAGTAGGCTGAAGATCCTGATCCAGGAAGTAGACTGAAGGTCCTGATCCAGGAAGTAGTCTGAAGGTCCTGATCCAGGAAGTAGGCTCCAGGAAGATCCTGATCCAGGAAGTAGACTGAAGGTCCTGATCCAGGAAGTATTCTGAAGGTCCTGATCCAGGAAGTAGTCTGAAGGTCCTTATCCAGCAATTAGGCTAAAGGTCCTGATCCAGGAAGTAGGCTAAAGGTCCTGATCCAGGAAGTAGGCTGAAGCTCCTGATCCAGGAAGTGGGCTGTAGGTCCTGATCCAGTAAGTAGTCTAAAAGGTCCTGGTAGTAGTAGTATAAAAAGAAGACTAATCTTACCCACAATCTGCAGTTTAGGGTTACTTCCCTTTGCCTATAACTCATATTCCTGTAATCAAAAGGTTTTTCAAGTCTGTAATTCATCTGTTAAAAGGTTATGACCAGGTGGGGATGGTCTATCGCCATGATATTGATAATGAAATACAAACAGTGGAGATAGTTGAATCAGACAGGTGAATTGCTTTGTCTCTCTCCACCAGGATGACCCTTGTACAGCTATTGAATGTTAAATTGTGCACGTTTCCCATGTTTCCCACAGTTCGGACTGCATTGTTAGCTATCATCGGGTTTATGCCCACCCATGGTGGAGGTGCAATTGGATCACTGGACTATAGTGCTGAAGAAAGAAAGATTTTATCAAAGAAGTAAGTGTAAGGATATGTGGCTCTACCAAGTAGGATAACATTTGCGCATCACACATGTGACTGGGCTTAAGTCTGTACATGGACAAATTTTGTCAAAGTGGAAAGTGTATTTGTATTTCTGTGCTGCAGCTAAGTGGGAAAACATTCTCATCACGCTAATGGCTGGGCTCTATTCTGTAGATGCTCTCACCCTTCAGCCACCGACTGCTACCAGGCTTATGCTTAGTGTTGCCAACTTGACCAAACATAGAGACAGAAATAAATAGTTTGTAATATCATGGGATAATGGATAGAAATGTGGTAATCGTGACACGGGAAAAGTATTTACCCAGTGATCATCAAATAGTATGTTGCCATGCAGTACCCATTGATCAGATCACTGTCTTAATCAGGATTTATAGTTTTCTTTTGAACAATGTGCCAACAGGTCACAGGACTTCAAATGTACAACGTGTGGTAGTGTGAACAACACCCTCAAGCCAGTCACAGAAGCATCGGAGAAAACAAAACAGGAGGCAAAGGAATTGGCATCCCAGATTAACTTCCAGGTAGTCATGCTTGACTGATGAATTGGGGTATTGTATCTATCAACTGTATTGAAGAGGTCGAGGGGGCAGTGTTTCATTGAAGTTACTTGTGGTTATTATTCCCTGTTATCAATAGTTGATAATTTGCATGTACTGAACTAGTGTTAATGTATTGTAATTGATTTCGGGGCAGTAGCCTAGTGGTTAAAGCGTTTGCTCGTCACGCCAAAGACCCTGCTTTGATTCCCCACCTGGGTACAATGTGTGAAGCCCATTTCTGGTGTCCCCCGCCGTGATATAGCTGGAATATGGTTAAAATTGAACTCGCTCACTCACTGTAATTGATTTCAAACAAACTCTTTATTTTTCCTTATCCTGACTCATGATTATTTGCTTTCTCATCCTCTCTTCCGATCGGTCAAGTGGAAACTTGAATCCTTTCAATTCCCTTGAAGCGAACGTACAATCACTCACCCTTCATTACCTCCCTTGGTTTCCCGCCAAAACCCGGCACGTGACCTCCCATGCCTTTGGTCCTCACTCTCTCCTCTATCGCCCTAGCGGACGGTTGGGCGGTCACTTCAGGGTCCTTTCGCGGCCTATAACTTAAAAAGTTTTGGAATTATAACACAAATTCTGCCGTGGATGTGTTTATTAATATATTATTCATCATATTATTAACAGAATTTGTACATTTCATGTCAAATTAATTCACGTTTTACTCCGTTTTCAGACGACTGTTTGTTTACATTTTGCAAGTGTAAACAGTGATCCATCACGTCTCTACGCTTGAATTACACCCTGGGTGTTCTTCTTGGCTGGTTTACGGGTTGAATATGTCTTGATGTTGATTATTGTGTATAATCATATGTGTATTTATTGAATTTAATTTTTTCACATGTGATTGCGAATTTGATTCTAATATTACACAACCTGTTGGTACAGTTAACCAGACTGCGTGAGAAGGTGATACAGTCGTGAGAATTGTGAGTTGCTGTGACTACGGGTTGAGCTGTACTGATATACGATGTCATCCCAGTCGAAGTCTGTGATGTCACCCGTACGGGAGAAGGTATCTCCACACACTGTAAGTAAAAGGAAGTCCCCTCCAGCAGAGAAGGCATCACAACATAAGAGGATCGAGACGACTGCTTCAGGGAAGCAGACATCATCATCCAGTTGTCGCTACCTACGTCTATGCAGCGTCTATCAACAGATATTGATGTGCCTGGCGCTGAAGCAGATGGTTCCAGCTTCGGCAGTCCTCCAGTGTTGCAGCCGGAGATTTTCCTTTCAGTGTCGCAGAGATCTTCCAGTCCTGAGATACTGTCAGCGCAGATTAGAAGCATGACATCGCCGATGTCATCGTTGCGGTCTACCGAGAGCAGTGATGCAGTTAGACTATCGAAAGTTACTCACTTTCACGCAAGCAGTCTATTGAAGCTGTTGCAGAACCAGAGACAGCAAAAGTCAGGCGGGAACCAGTTAGCGTCTGCTAACGCTAACCCGTCTCTGAGGCCGACAGACGGGGACAGTTGCAGTAATCCCGCAGCAGCATCCAATGGTCAACGCTGAAGACTTTGCTGATACAATCACCCGTAGGGTGATGCAGGCGATGGAGATGAGGCTAGACCGGGAGAAGAAGCAGACGGCTCTTGAGAGCAGCGTTGCAGTAGACGAGATGATGGTAGACCGGTCCTTTACTACGTCGTCAGCAGTCAACGTAGACATCTCACATCACGGCCTGGCAGATGAAGTACAGCATACTGAAGAAGATGATGCCATCTTCACTGAAGCTGAGGTACTGGCGTGGGTGGCTGATGGTCTCCCGTTATCGTCCCTGTCTAGAGACGCTAATCCTGATGAGACGTACTGTATGAAGGATGATGACTACGAATCAATTACTATCCCGCCAATGAAGCCCATTGCCCAGGTATCAGAGAAGGCTTCGAAGACACAGGGGCAACATATTCCGCAGTTTAACCCTAGACGATTCCGACATCACAACATGAGTCAGTTCGACAAGGTGCCAGAAGTTGATGAAGATTTATATCTGGTCACTGACTCGAAGTCTCGCAGTTACAAGGTAGATGATAAGAGACTGGCGCAACTTGATACGACAACCCGTAGAGCCTTTTACGGGTTAGCAAGATCTAGGTTCAAGAATCCTAAGACGGAAGAAGAAAAGATGATCAAGTCTACCTTAGTGGTCCAGCGCAAAGATCAGTAGTTTATCTCCGATCACTTGGCTTCTACATCGGCGGGCATCACCCTTCTACGTCGACAAGGGTTGCTGAGTTCCAGTACGTGGCCAGATGTCGACACCAAACCTTTACTAAGGAAGCATTGGGCAGTGCCTACCCTGTTTGACGGCGGCATCCGGCAGTTGTCACGTGAAGTATCTCAAGACTCAAAAGACTTGATGTTGATCAAGTCCGTACAGACGATGAACACCATGGTGCGTCAATGAACTCAGCGTAGTCAACTAAGATCCCGTTTCTCTGGTATTCAGAGAGCCAAAGAGAAGAAGTTCTCGACTTCATGTGGCGGCAACTCGGGGTCTTTTCGTCGTCCCAGTAATGTCAGAAGTTACTCAGGCCGAGGAAGGATCTCCGGCGGTGGCAGAAGATCCCGTTACTGAAGAGAAGGTCGCTTCCACCCCCAGCCGTTCCGGTACAACCGTCATCCGTGGGTGGACGTCTGGGCCTATACTGGGAAAATTGGAGAGTACTACAGGACGATTACGTCACAGAAGTCTTACGAGAGGGCTACAGCATCCAGTTGCAGTCGACACCACCATTGACAGATCAACCGTTGGTCTTCAAGTTCCCTCAACTACAGCGAGACAAGCTCACCCGAAGCTATCGAGATGTTGGTGGTAAAAGATGCTGTAGAGGTAGTCGATCAACGCAGACTGACGCCTGGGTATAACTCTCCAATTTTCCTAGTACCAAAGAAGAACTCCCAAGAGAAGTTCCGTCTAATCTTCTATATGAAGAGCTTCAACAAGAATTACCTGTTGAAACCAGAGAAGTTCAAGATGTCACATCTACCTCAGCTGAGACATCTTATCTGACCCAACGACTTCATGGCCAGCATAGATCTGCAAGATGCCTATCTACATATACCAATACATCCAGAATCACGGAAATACCTGTGATTCCTGTTCGAAGATCGTCATTACCAATTGAAGGTACTGCCGTTTGGAATTTCGTCCGCCCCCGTGGTCATTTACGCGAATAACCAAACCGATTGTCGCTTATCTCCATCAGAGGGGCTTACGAAGTGCTTTCTACCTAGACGACGGCATCCAGGCACATCAAGATGCAGATCAACTCAAACTACAACTGCAGTTTACGATCACCCAATTGACACAGTTGGGCTGACTGGTGAATCATCAGAAGTCGGAGTTGGAACCGACCCAAGATCTACAATTCTTAGGCATCAGATTCCTGACGTCAGAAAATCGCATCCTGGTGCCAGACGACCGATGGCAGAGCATCCAGTTGTGCATACCAGACGCTCTCAACAATCCACTAGACTTGAGAACGTGGCAGCGAATCTTGGGTCTATTGACGTCGGCACAGGCTCTCACCCGCAGAGGAAGATTACAACTTAGTCCGCTACAAAGGTTCCTGATAGCGCATCTAGACGATGTCCAGATGTTTTCCATCCCACAACATCTAAAGCAAGCCTTGCTTTGGTGGACAATAAAGTCGAATGTTTGCGGTGGAACCTATTTGAGAGAGCCAAATTACAACAGACATCTCTACGTGGATGCGTCCCTCCAAGGTTGGGGGCACATCTCAACGACAAGGTTATGGCAGGGCGGTGGTCACAAACAGAGAAGGATCTGCACATCAATCAGCTAGAACTGAAAGCAGTAATAGTACTACATTGGGCGGCGCAATTAAAGAATCAGGTACTGATGATACACACAGACAACTCCGCGGTGGCATTTTACATAAATTTGCAAGGGTCCACAAGATCAGTGCCGCTGCTTCAACTGATGTTCCAGCTATTCGACATCGCAGACAAAATCAACCTGAAGATGAGGGCTTGCCACATCCCAGGGGCAAAGAACATCTTAGCAGACGCTCTATCCAGACCAGTACGGCCATCTCCCACAGAGTGGAAGTTACATCCGGAGGTGTTCCAGTGGATAATAGCCCAACTAGGCTGTCCTCACATAGATCTGTTTGCAACGCGCTTCAACAATCAGGTGACAACATTTGTCTCGCCAGTGCCAGACCCGCTGGCATGGGCTGTCGACGCCTTAGCCATATCATGGGAAGGGATGAAGGCTTACGCCTTCCCTCCACCGATCCTGTTACCACAAGTACTTCGCAAGATCAGCCGAACGAGGGTCCTACAACTGACTTTGGTAGCGCCTTACTGGCCAGCAAGACTATGGTTCCCAGACCTCATAGATCTTCACGGCGAACCTGTACTACGACTCCCAGACTGGCCGAATCTACTTGTCCATCCTCACACCAAGCAGCGACACGACACCCCAAAAGCGTTCCAGCTACACTTATGGAACATATCACATACTGCTTGAAGAGTCGAGGATACTCCACTAGAGCAGCCAAGGCAGTAACCTTAGCTCTACGTAGATCTACACGTAATCTATATGATGACAAGTGGAGAAGTTTTGAACAGTATGCTGCTCAACATAAGTTCACGGCCAGAAGAGCGACTAATCCACAAGTAGCAGATTATTTGTGTCATTTGAGGTCCACTAGACATCTGAAGGGTTCCACATTGTCTACTTATCTGGCGGCAATCAGTTCGGTCATCACCATGAAGACGGGTGAAATTGACCAAAGTGCCTGAACTTGTAGCCCTGCTGAGATCATTCAAGTTAGAAGATCAACAACAGAAATTCAGGGCACCAGCTTGGGACCTCAATATAGTACTACAGCACCTCATAAGTGAGGTATATGAGCCGCTGACACAGACAACATTTGAGTTATTAACTCAAAAGACGATATTCCTCCTCGCCTTGGCTACTGCAGCTCGGATGTCTGAGATACACGCCCTTGACTTCAGCCGTACGAGATTCGACACGGGAAGAAAGGAAGCAGTCCATCTAGGCCTTAGATGGGACTTTATAGCCAAGAACCAGCTACCGGGACAACCGGATCGTCAATTCTACGTTCCAGCATTATCAACTATCTAGCATTATCCACAGGACACTCAAGATCTATCATTATGTCCGGTCAGAGCGCTGAAAATCTACTTGCAGAAATCTGCACGAGAAGGAGGAAGTTCAAGCGTTTATTTATCCCGCTACCACCCGCTACGACGGTAGAAGTCTCCCGTACTACGGTCTCCTTTTGGATCAGAGCGGTGATCTTAAGGGCCTACAAAGCAGCAGGATTAGAACCTCCAAGAGCATCTAACCCACATGAAGTAAGAGCATTGGCCTCGACACTCGCCCTACATGGAAATTGCTCAATATCATCTATAATGGAAGGCTGCTTTTGGAAGTCAGACACTGTCTTCGCTAACCACTACCTGAGAGACATCTCCACGGAAGATGTATCTGGTATACATCAATTCGGCCCTCTAGTCGTAGCGCAGCAACTCACTATGCCGGCCAGACGATGAAGAATCTCACCCTTGTCACGCAGACTCGTTGACGCCAGGCAACTGTTCCATTGCCACCGGCTAAGAGTCCATATTCCCCCTGTTTTACGAGATAAGACAGCGCATGAGTGATACATAGACTCAGTTATGGTAATGTTCTTGCCTTAACAGATGGGTTGCGATACCAGTTTCGGTAATGTTCTTACCGTAAACATATTGGATCGTTGCAGAATATCTAGACAACACAACGTCTAGTATACTAAATCCACAAAACTTAAGAAGTTTACTTCTAATACGAATGTATAAGAAGGTGGTCCCCCAATTAACATCAAGATAATATTGAAGTTAGCAGCAGATGAAGAAAATTCCCAGGGGGTAAATCGAGCGAACGCTGACGGGAATACAATCATGCAGGGAATCCCGTAGGTGGCTGACCCACCGCCTATCCGTCGGATTTAGAAAGCAAATAATCATGAGTCAGGATAAGGAAACATATGTAATTTTTATGATAAAATTAATATTTTATACTTATCCTGACTCATGAGATGATGCCCTCCCAACCGTCCCCTCTCACCACACGGGTTTCCCTGTAGACCTGAGTGGGGCATATTTCGGAGAGAGTGAGGACCAAAGGCATGGGAGGTCACGTGCCGGGTTTTGGCGGGAAACCAAGGGAGGTAATGAAGGGTGAATGATTGTATGTTCGCTTTAAGGGAATTGAAAGGATTCAAGTTTCCACTTGACCGTTCGGAAGAGAGGATGAGAAATCAAATAATCATGAGTCAGGATAAGTATAAAATATTAATTTTATCATAAAATTACATATTTTGATAAGTCACAGGATTTTTTTCCAAAATGATGTAAAATTCTAGCTTTGTCATCAGTTTTAATTCATGGAAAAATCTTGTTTTCTTGAGTTTTCAGTAAAGATGTACCTTCATTGCAAGTACTTTAATGTAAACATTTGTGAAGGCATTTGTTTCATAGAATATATTCTATTTTGTTTCCATTAGACATTATTACATAATCATATATTTTGTGTTTAAGGGTGAGAAAGAAAAGAAAGAACCCAGCTCTTCACCAACCAATGAGAGTGGAGCTTCATCTGGACCTACCAATGAAAGCACAGCTTCCCCAGATGGTGCCTCTGCAACCTCGCCTTCACCCCCTTCCCCTCCCAACTTTCCGTGGCCAATGCCTCCTGGTATGACTCCTTTTCATGGTAGCCCTGGCAACCAATCACTCCAGCAGTTCCCCTTCCCACCACCCCCTTTCATGGTTCCACCAGCATGGCAAAACCACACTAGCAATGCTGCCAGTCAAATTCCTCGATTTCCACCTTATTTCATGCATCCATCATTTTTCCAACCCCCTTCAACAATGAAAAGTAATTCTCAGATGCCTCACATGGCCCACATGCCTCCGTGGTTCCCTCGGCCACCCATGGGCCAGACGAGCACCACAGCATCAAGCAGCAGACCGGTAATGTCAGAAAAGCAGAGGCCTTCAGAATCTTCAACTGACTCAACAAAGACAACCACAGTGCAGTCTCCAGCACCCAGCACGTCCCTGTCAGCTCCAACCCAGTCACCTTCCACCACACCGACCTCCAGCCAGTCAAGTCCCAGCCCTGTATCATCATCTCAGTCAACAGCAGGAGCGGTGCAGACATCCACACAATCAGCACCCACTGTAAGCTTAACAGAGGGTGTGCGACAGCGGCAGGCAACAAGGCCACAGACTACTGTCACGCAGACAACAGCCCCTCGTCCTGCCCCTGTCTTCAATGAAGGTCAAGGTCAGCCTAATGCAGGAGGAATCGTGTCTGCGGCACTGATTCTGGTGGTGGGCCTGACAATACTGCTACTACTGATCCGGCGTCTCTACACCATGAATGTGTCCATGTGATGTTACTGCTGCTAGGACATGAAACTGTTAATGTTAACAGCTTCAGCCATTGTGTTGATGATCTTGAAAACAATTGTCAGGATGAAGCAAGAAGAGTCTGACTTGGTTGTGACAAATTGTAGAGGTTGCTCATACACTAAGAACTGGGTGAAATGGTTGACTTTCTTCACACACAAATGTTACATTTGGAAGCCACAAGCCAACAGACTAGCTTTAGTTTATAAAGCTGCAGCCTGTAAAATATTTCAAATGGACATATGGAAGTGGTGATGTAAAAGTGTGAGTTGATTTACTCATGATCCACTTGATGGAATATGATGGTACATCTTCACTATTGGGAGAGTATTTTCTCTATGTGAACAGACAGCACTACTGAGTCTAGTGTTTCCTGCTTTTGTTTGTTGATTTAGATTGTTTTGTTATTTATTTGAAGGTTATTGTTTGCACAATATCATATGAAATGTAAACCTCAGCATTCTTGTATCTGGAAAGAAGAAAGTCATTTGGGCACTAAACTTTTGCAAACTAATTGCAGGCAAGCAACCTATATTTCCAGGTGGGAAAGGTACTACCAATTTATGAGACAATCCTTTTCTCAGAGTGTAAATATAATGCTCTCTTGTGTGTGTATGACTACTGTACATTAGTCCTAGAAGCTAGCCTGTTCTACTTTGGGTTTTTGAAGCTCTTTGTGTAGAAGAGTCTCTCGGCTCATGTTGTAGAAATATGATACCCCAGGTACATCTAGTAGCAAGTATTAAATGTACCAGTACAAAATACAAAATACCTTTTTGATGTTTCAGTATATATTGTGAATGAAATTAATTGACTTAAAATGCATGACAGAAACATACAAATGTTCTTGTAGTTCCAACTGCCTGAGCTGGGTATACATTATTCTTGTGATGACTACTATATGTGAGAGATGGGGTGTCATGGTTCGGAGAGCAATGTGAATTTGTACCGGTGCTTCTACACTACAGCAATAGTTTGTGTTGGGATGGTTGTATGCAGGGCTTGTTGAACAGGTGTCCTGGTAGTGCCAGTACAGATTCCCTACAGGTGTATGTATGTGGGGGTGGGTGGGAGTGAAGGTGCCTTGGAGATATCCTCCTATTCAGGAAGGATGAGTAATGAGAAGGGGGATGAAGTCAGTGTTGGCTGGAGGTTGGTTACTAAACAGGACATGGTGTGATAATTATGAGATTGTTTGGCTAACAAATCTGTGTTGTTCAATGAATAAGCCTTTCAAAAACAGTTGTTAGAATGTCTATGTTTAAACAGAATACTTATAACAACTTATACAGGTAACATACTTGGGTGACATCAATATAGATAAAGACCATCGGGGTCACATGAAATGAGGAAAATGACAATGGAATTTGGAAGGTGATATCGATCAGAAATGTGTTCAATCATTGTTTTAGATGTTGATCAGAATGAATTCAGGAAAGTATTGCAGTATGTTGAACTAATCCGGCATCTTCATGGTACCGTTCTAGCAATAATATCTTTGGGAAAACAAACATGGAAATCCATGGCCTACAGATAATTAGTTGGATTGTTGTGTCATAATATGCATTATATGACTTCTGTGATATAATCGGTAGGACTGGGGCTTATGTTGTATATAGAATTGTACTTGAAATTATGCTTCTTTGTGTCGGCATAAATATATTTAATATGAATTCTGATAATGTCATTATGTGTTTCAAATGGTGTAAAACATTGGAAGAAATAGATATGGATGACTCTTTGATGTTTTGTTTTATTTACCTCCCCATTTCAGAATTTAGGATCAGTATGTATGTCAGTAGGATGTTAGAAGGAGCACTAATGGACAAGTAGCAGGGAATCGTTGTAGTCTTTGCAGAAAGTACCATTTGAATTCTGTTTAAGAAAATATTATGAACTGCCTATGGCATTGATATGTGGAGATCCAAGCAAGTGTCCGAATGCATCCCATGATATGGTCGAAATTGTCCTGAATACATTCAGGTATGTTTGACATGTTTTCAACAAGTGCTACATGTTGGCACAAATGAGGTGATTACACCTTGGAAGTAAGTTGTTTGTTTGTACTGGATAGGTTCGCCTTTTGTAGGAAGATGCGGTAGCACAGCAGAAAACTACATACAATGGGATCTGATTACTGTTAAGCTGGCTTGTCTACTCAATTTCTGACCAGGAAACATTCGTGATACAAGATTGCATCGTTTGGTTCCAAGGGGCGATACTCCAACTTATTGGTTAGATAGGACACCCCACACATTCCAAGGGGCGATACTCCAACTTATTGGTTAGATAGGACACCCCACACATTCCAAGGGGCGATACTCCAACTTATTGGTTAGATAGGACACCCCACACATTCCAAGGGGCGATACTCCAACTTATTGGTTAGATAGGACACCCCACACATTCCAAGGGGCGATACTCCAACTTATTGGTTAGATAGGACACCCCACACATTCCAAGGGCGATACTCCAACTTATTGGTTAGATGGGACACCCCACACATTCCAAGGGCGATACTCCAACTTATTGGTTAGATAGGACACCCCACACATTCCAAGGCTTATACCCCAACTTATTGGTTAGATAGGACACCCCCACACATTCCAAGGCGATACTCCAACTTATTGGTTAGATAGGACACCCCACACATTCCAAGGGGCGTGCTCAACTTATTGGTTAGATGGGACACCCCACACATTCAAGGGGCTGATACTCCAACTTATTGGTTAGATAGGACACCCCACACATTCCAAGGGGATACTCCAACTTATTGGTTAGATAGGACACCCCACACATTCCAAGGGGCGATACTCCAACTTATTGCTTAGATAGGACACCCCACACATTCCAAGGGCTACTCCAACTTATTGCTTAGATAGGACACCCCACACATTCCAAGGGCTTATACCCCAACTTATTGGTTAGATAGGACACCCCACACATTCCAAGGGGCTGATACTCCAACTTATTGGTTAGATAGGACACCCCACACATTCCAAGGGGCGATACTCCAACTTATTGGTTAGATGGGACACCCCACACATTCCAAGGGGCGATACTCCAACTTATTGGTTAGATGGGGACACCCCACACATTCCAAGGACACCCCACACATTGCAAGCAAGGTACTCCAACTTATTGGTTAGATAGGACACCCCCCACACATTCCAAGGGGCGATACTCCAACTTATTGGTTAGATAGGACACCCCACACATTCCAAGGGGCGATACTCCAACTTATTGGTTAGATAGGACACCCCACACATTCCAAGGGGCGATACTCCAACTTATTGGTTAGATAGGACACCCCACACATTCCAAGGGGCGGTACTCCAACTTATTGGTTAGATAGGACACCCCACACATTCCAAGGGGCGATACCCCAACTTATTGGTTAGATAGGACACCCCACACATTCCAAGGGGCGATACTCCAACTTATTGGTTAGATAGGACACCCCACACATTCCAAGGGGCGATACTCAACTTATTAAAGCAAGAAATCAAGGTGGTAAGTAGGTGTAATGATGAACGTTGTGTTGATACTTTGTATATATAAGAGATGGTTGGAACCTTTATTATTCCATGATGCTTGCATGACTACAACACACTCTGACAGTTGGTATGCTCTATTTTCAACGTGAACAGATGATCAAAAGAAACGTTACCATCGTTTTATATCATTCTTGTTTAAACAACACATAAAGATAGTTGAATGAAAAAAAACATTTAAACATCTATATCACGTCTTGTACTCTCTCTCTCTCTCTCTTTTATTCGACCAACTGAGTGGAAACGAACTGCAAACTTAATCCGAGGCCTCTCTTGTCCATTCGCCCGTGCACTCCATGGTGCGCCCCTTATGGTGGAGTTTACGAATGTCTACAGGGAATAACGCCTACAGTCTTAACATCAGTTATCATGTTATCGAAGGACACCCCAAGTACAAATCGTCACACGTCTTCTGGGTGGTTCTTCCTTGAAAGACTCAAAGTCTCCTTCCTAAGGATTAAATCCGAGGATATGTAGAAAGGTTCTTTATTTGCAGAAATACTGCTTCATGTTTCATGACACCAGTACGTGTCGCCCTGTCGTGATTTACAACTAGTTATTCCAATTATTTGCTTACAAGCCATAGAACCACTGAAACAACAATCAAATCATTTTGTCCTCTTTTGATGCTACATATCATATTCCATAGAGATATTTGATGTTGTATACATGAATTATACATGTATGTGTATGTCTATTTTCTTTCCCAAATCAGATAATAAGATTGATATGTGGCTACTCTGCATTTCATAACCTATAATTGTGCATATAATCATTTCGAATTGACTATCAAATTATTGAGAAAAAAGTTCTCTTATGTAAACATTAGTTATCGCCCTATTGCGCTTGTCAAATGTGCTTTTTCAATCAAAGGTCAAACCTATGACCAAGCAAAATCAAGTAACTTCAAATTCAAAGTAGAATGCTTGCATATATTCATTTATTTTTGTCTCCTGTCTATTCAGCTGATTTCATTCTTCTGGTGGACCCGTGAAGATCCGGGTTAGAATTCAGTAACCCATGCTTGTAAGAGGCAATTAACGGGATCGGGTAGTCAGACTCGCTGACCTGGTTGACTACATGTCATGGTATCCCAATTGTGTAGATCGATGCTAATGACGTTGATCACTGGATTGTCTGGCCCAAACTCGATTATTTACATACCGCCGCCATATAGCTGGAATATTGCTGAGTGCGGCGTTAAACTACAAACCAACCAACCAAGCTGGTGATCTAGTAAAATCATTAGTTCAACCGTACAACTCCAGGGAAGATATTCACATCTGAGTTGACAATGTATTAAACATCACATGTTTTTACTGTCCTTTTTTATATTCTGAGTTTATGTGTCATAAATGTGCAACATGTTTTAGTCACGCGGTGGCTGAAATACAGCGCATGCTGTGGTCCGTTCCGATACGGAACATTCCGCACATACATTCATGTCACCATATACTAGTACATGCATCGTAGTCCTATGACATTGAAATACGATGTAAGTGAATGAGTGAGGTTGGTTTAACGTCGCTTCTCTCAGTATTCCATTCATATAAAGGTGAGCTATAGGTCGCAGACATCTACAAAAGCGGGTATGTGCTTAAACATTAGTACTTGTAAACATTAGTGAACTCGTATTTGAATTCAGTAAAGAAAACACTTTATAAATGAATAAAAGTGTTGTGATTTGTTAAAAGCGAGTGAATCATGAAAGTTGCATTTGTCGTTCCATCTTTAACGATTGATCGGTGATCAGTAAGGTATTAAAACACTTTATAAATGAATAAAACGGTGTTGTGATTTGTAGAAATAAAGACGTTAACACGTATTATAAAGAAACCATGCACATGGAACAGTATTACAAAATAGTTGACATTGTATTATAGTAAGCTTTAACGGTAACAGAAAACAGAAGCGCCAGGTTGATACTTGGTAGCACGAAGAAAATATCAATAATAAGTGAAGAATGTATAAAATTTTATTAAATTTTCATTGTACATAACTCACTTTGGCATATGAGCATACCTGTGTTTAGTGAGCCAAAAATCCCACGTACTGATATCCTGGCTTTGAATTTCCTGTCGTTTCTTAGATTCGGCCCACACTCACGGCATGTTTTCTTCGTGCGTGTTGAGTACTCGGTAGCACCCATATCTGCGACGATAAACGCTATGCCTTGGTGGTAGCACGTATCAATGTGATAAAATCAGACTCTCCTACTACTCATCTATTTACGTGGGTAATTATAATACTTTCACCCTACAAACATATATACAGCTAGTTAAATATTCGAAGTATAATTTAGCAGATAAAACCACATCAGCTTAAATGTAAGAAAAAAACTTAATATTTCAAGGAACTGTTCTATTAAACAACGTGTCAATGTCATCAAGGTATGCTTCAAAAGAAAATATTGTGACCCTATTCGTTGTTCTTCAGTTTTATACATTTAAACCATACTGAGTTCACCGGGAACAAGGACACCTCTTACTGTCGTAAACAGTTGCATTGAAAACATTGCATTCATAATAACGTAGCAGTCTAAGTAAACTTAGGCTCAGTATTATTCGTTACACTCCTATACTGAGTCTAACAAAACCTAGTAGAAGGTCGCGTCAGCTAACCTTTGAGCGACCTATGACCGTCCAATCAAATGCGAGACGGCCGAACGGATTTAACCAATCAGACAACGACTACTTGTTAGAGTTCGGCGGGACTTACAAAACGGTTGTTTTACTCATTGCGTGTATCACTCGGAAGCGATTGTGCGGAAAATAGCATTCGGAATCGTTCGAGTATGGTTCAAACGGTATGTGCGAATGTTTACTTTCGCGATTTGGTAAGCTGTGTTCTGATTGGTCAGTCCAAAAGGTTAGCTGACGCGACCTTCTACTAGGTTTTGTTAGACTCAGTATAGCAGTGTAACGAATAATACTGAGCCTAAGTTTACTTAGACTGAATAACGCAGAGAGATCATGGCCATTGTGTCAAGTGGAGTTCAATAAAATCGTGTGACATCACGTGTACAAACGCGCAACAAGCTTTACAAAAAGACGTAAAATATACGAGATAATAGTGACTGTGTTGCATTAAGATTCCACTGGTCAGGTCTCCAGTGGTCTGATGCGCCTCTCTATCCAGGCTGGCATCTTGGAGGGGCTGCTCCAGGCGAGGCGGGGGTTGTACAAGATGAAGTAGGCACTACCGTGAGCCACCGCCAGGCCCAGTAGGACGCCCACAGTTGGCAGATAGCTTGTCAGCATATACACGTTGAGGACATGGACAGCGATGTCAAACGCGGTTCCTAGGATTGAATCCAGCTCCAAGCGATCTTTCTTGTGACTTTTGAAATAATCCAGCGAACTCCAGTCCATTATCTGTAATCAAAACAAAAAAAGAAGATATTTTAAAGAAAATGGCAAATCTGTTATGTACTGATTAGTTCTACTGCCAATATGATATTCTGTCATTATCACTATGGCAACAAACATCATCCTGGTTCCTGGAAGCCGCCCAGGACAAGGAATGTGGTCGTAACAATATGACACCATGCAATATAGCCTCCGGTGGCGATTTGAGTTTAAATTTGTTTCTGAGTAAAATATTATTGAAAATGCTCTAATGTTGCCGGGTGAGACATTTTCATTTTTCAAAAACGAAGAAACAAACCTTATTAGCCAGGGATGATTTGTTCCAGGTGATGAAGTAGAAGAGGTGCTGTATAAGATGCAGACTTGCCAACCATCTGAGTTTACCCGTGTACAGGAAGCAGGTTATGAAGACTGAGGCAGCGTCAAAAAGGAAGTAGAAGCGGATGCGAACAAGATCTTTCCGTGGCAGTAACCGAACTCGGAACAAGATGGCCGCGTGTCCCAGAATGTGATACAGCTCCACCACAAACAGCACAAAGGCAACTGGGTTGAATGACCACATGGTGCCTGTTGTAATACCTGCAGAACAAGATATGCCAAACAATATTATCCTTCCTTGGAATCATATTATAGTTCTTTAAACCGTATGAAAACATATTTCCGAGTATTACTCAAGTCAAAGAAGTTTCGTGTGAGTGGATAGAAAACTTTACAGTGGCCTAATCGTCAGCAAACAAGGATGCGGTGTTGAGTTGGTTAGATCGCTGACTTTATGTGCTGGCGTTTAGATACCTCACTCATAGAGTGTGGGGTGGAATCCTGGATGGGGCTTAAACCCCCAACCCCAATATACTAGAATCTGAGAGAAAGCGTAATACCAATTATAAAATATCATGGGCGGATCGAGGACAGGGGGTTCGAACCCTCTGAACCCCCATTGGCTCCGCCAACGCAAAAAAAATCTTCAAAGTCGTCTTAAGTCTTTTTCAAAAGTGTGTGTGTGTGTGTGTCTCCGAACCCCCTGAACCCCTCTTCTGGATTCGCCAATGAATATGAGTCATTTGACAACATTTTAAAAGGCAACGTGTAATTCAGGTCCTCTGACAAAGTGTTACCTTACCTCAGAGTCCTGTGCGTCTGCGACATGTGTGTTTTATGTCATGAAAGTTTCTTAAGCAACGTGGCTATTTGAATTACAGGTTCTGAAGATTTCAATAAAGTGATATGATATTACGAACATATCATGTCTTACCACACGTGTATTGATCTATAACGTCACCAAAGCGTGTGACATTGTTTTAAATCTTCATGCAGCATTATTGCAGTACTGTGTATTGTGCGACGTTGTCCATGGAACCATGAGTTTGTTTAATGTATGCTGAGTGTCTTGTATTGTTGGTTATCTGTTGTTTACACATGGAGGTACAAAAGGGTAACGGTCTGGTAACTATGTGCATAGGATAGGCTGCTTGATATGACAGATATGTATATGTCTGTGTATGCATGTATATATTCGCAGGTGTGTGCGTGTGCGTGCGTGCGCGTGTATGTATGTATGCGCGTATGTATGTATAGATGTGGGTATCTATGTGAATGTGTGCATATGTGTGTGTGTGCATGTGTGCATATGTGTGTGTATATATGTGTGTATGTATGTATGCGCAGGCAGTATGTGGAACACAAGTCCAACTTATGTTGAGTAAATGTTATGAATCTTTCCAAGGATTAATTTGTCATTCTGTATCCAATCCAGTTATACTACTTCTATGCGTAGCTGTCATAATTCATAAAGAGTAACTTACTTCAACAGTTGTTTGATATCCCTTGCATATTTATCTCATACCGCTATCTCTCTTAAAAATATTTTGTCAGGTATAATCCGTCCTCCACATTTGTTTTACGTAACAGACGCTCGTGCATCCTGAGCTGCATGCATAGCCGAGATTAAGACGGGTCACCATACAGGTTCAGTAAACAGATGTTCTTTGTTGTTCTATTTTCCACTCTTCCTTTTTCTGTTACAGATGAAAGATTCCACCTGTAACCTGATTTTATTTTTCGTTTATTTATATTTTCTTACCTTAGTCGGATTATCTACTTGGATTTCTGTCAGAGAGATACATTGTTCAAGTTATCTACTCATTAGCAAACAGATAAGTTTGCCTTTTTCTCTTAACAAATCAATAGCTTTAAATACACAATTAAACTGCTTTTCAGTTGTATGTCGGAAATTAGATCAGTTCTATTTTCTCACAAGAGAACCCACCCAAGCTATTATGATTAACTTATTCGACAATGATTGATATTGTACAGTACAGACAAGTGGTGGGTTCTTTTGTTTGTCATATTCAAAACAAATCTGCCAACAAGCTTAAAAATATTTCCTATTCTTTACTACTTCTTTGCCTATACAATGCCAAAGTCACCTTGGTAGCGTCTCTTATTCTCTTGATCTGCGGTGATATTCATTCTCACCCAGGTCCAATTAAAAATAATGAACTAAACATAATACACTTTAATGTGCGTAGCCTTAAAGATAAAATTGACATACTTGAGGCAGAGTTTGGAACCTACGACGTCATATGTCTCACTGAGACATGGTTACATGATGGTATAAGTAGTAATGATATTTTAATTCCGGGTTTCCATTCACCTCTCAGAAATGATAGACAGAGCAGGGGCGGGGTGTCACAGTGTACGTTAAAAGTAAAATGAGTTTTGAATATATGGAGAATTTAACTTTAGACGGGCTTGAGGCGATATGGATAAAAGTAAGATGTAAAAACGGAATTACTTAATAGGAACGTTCTATCGGGCAGACAAAACAGAAGCTTACTGGGATTTAATCGAAGATTCTATCAATAACGCTGTTGATCTTAATATGGACACAATTGTAGTTGGTGACTTTAATATTAATTTACTTGCAGACACAAGTTATAAAATTAATCAATTACAACTGCTATTTGGACTAACCCAACTTATAACTGAACTTACAAGGATTACACCCAGTTCTAGTACATTAATTGATTTTATTTTTGTTTCAAGTGTTAGCGCTGTACTAAAATCGGGTGTTTTAGATCCTGTATGTAGCGATCATTGCTCTGTATATGTCACCATTAATGAGTCGATTGCAAAATCGATTAACTACAAGAGAAAAATATATAATTATACTCTAGCTGATTTTGACGGTATTAAAAATGCCTAATATACTCTTGATTGGCATGCTATCTTTGCCTCTGAAAATATTAACCGAATCGCAAGCGATTTGACTGGTGCAATTCTTAAATTATGCGATAGTTATATTCCAAATAAGGTCGTTACGATAAGGCCCCGGGACGCCCCCTGGATGAATAGTGAGGTACGTAAATTGATTCGTAAACGCAATCGCCATCATAACATCGCAAAAAGGCGTAACTCATCATCTGACTGGGCACATTTTAGATTGAGTAGAAATAAAGTTATATCCGCGGTAAGAAATGCAAAGAAGATGTACATGAATAAAATTGATGAACAAATAAATAATGAACATGGTACAAAAACATGGTGGCGTTTAGGTAAGAATTATATAAAAAGTAAACACACCACCAATATTAATACTTTTCCTTCGATAATCCATAACGATAAACTATATGATGATAGTGCTGATATAGCAAACATTATGAATGATTTCTTTGCAGATCAGGCAAGAGTAGCTGCTCCTAATAGGGATATTCCTGAAATTCGTTTAGAGGTAGATAACCCATTATGTGACTTAACACTCAGTCCGCAAGAAATCCATGATATTCTCTCCTCTGTTGATATCATTAAAGCAACAGGCCCAGATGGTATTGGCAATAAATTTCTGAAAATGAATGCTAGACAATTAGCAGTTCCCTTATCTGAAGTTTTTAATCTATCATTAAAGAATACAGTGTTTCCTGATATCTGGAAGGAGGCATCAGTTGTTCCTATACACAAAAAAGGCAGTACAAATGAAAGCTCTAACTATCGACCTGTCGCACTAACAAGCTGTGTAGCAAAGATTTTCGAAAAATGCATTTTTAAACATGTATTTAATTATTTTAGGGATAATGAAATGCTTACAAACTTACAATCCGGTTTCATGCCAGGCGATTCAACGGTTAATCAACTAACGTACCTGTATGACTTTATAGTGGGTGCATTAGATAGCGGTAAGGAAATTAGGGCTGTATTTTGTGACGTAAGTAAGGCTTTTGACAAGGTCTGGCATAAAGGTATTATACATAGACTAAGACGTTATGGTATCGGGGGGTAACTTGTTGAAATGGTTTGAGAGTTATCTAGACAATAGAGTTCAGCGAGTTGGTATTAATGGTTACGCGTCTGATCAAAGATCAATCCTAGCCGGGGTTCCCCAAGGCTCTGTCTTAGGACCATTATTGTTTATAGTTTATATCAACGACATCGTTGAAGGAATAAACAGCAATATCCGCCTCTTCGCAGATGACACATCACTTTATGCTATAATAAATGATCCTGATGAAACTGCTCTGTCTGTTAATAATGATCTACGTAAAATTTCTGATTGGGCTGACAAATGGCAAGTTACATTTAATCCTAATAAAACAGATTCTATACAATTCTCTCGTAAAGTTCAGCCCAGCCCAAAACGAAACTTAACAATGAAGGATGGTAATATTAATGACGTTAATAGCCATAAACATTTGGGACTTACTTTACAGCACCATTGTTCCTGGACTGACCATGTTAACTGTATCGCTAAAAACGTTGCACCCATGGTAAACTGTCTTAGAGGTTTTAAATATCGTCTCTCAGGTAGAACTTTACAAACAATGTACAAACAATATATCTTACCTCTTTTCGACTATTGTTGTCACATCTGGGACAATTGTACCAAACAGCAAGCACTAACACTGGAAAAACTTAATCTTGATGCACTTAGGACTATTTGCGGTGCTGTTCGCGGCACGAGTCACAACAAAATTTATTATGAGACAAACTTCCAACCACTATGTACTCGAAGATACATCCAAAAACTAACGTTTTTCTATAGGATGGTTAATAATTTAACTCCAAAATATCTGAGCGATCTCGTCCCTCCTAAGGTATCTGACACAACAAGCTACATTTTGGAGACCGTTTGAAGCTCCAAACTATCGATATTAGTTATGCTAAGTCATTTCTCCCAGATACAGTAAGATTGTGGAATTGTTTGTCTACCGATTATAGAGAAACAGCTACTTTGGGTAGTTTTGAAACAGATTGATGGGTCAAATAATAATAATAGTCAAAATTACTTCAATTTAAGCTTTGGAACAAGATTCTGTCAGATTATCCATTCACGCCTCAGGCTCGGTTGCAGCGATTTAAACGCACATAAATATCAACGATTTATATCTTCAAATCCCTCTTGTTCTTGTGGCTACTGTTACGAAGATCCAATTCACTATTTCTTTTCGTGCGTTAATTACACTGACATAAGTCATAAAATGCACTTCGATACTAAAGGATATGACATCAAATCAATACTATACGGCCACTCTCGTGGATCTGCTAAAGGTAATGTTGAATTATTAGAATCTATCCATTCTTTCATT